TTGCACGAAAAATAGAGATTTTTGGTACCATTTGTATATTTTGTGTGATAGTGAACAATGTTAAGATGATATATATTCTTTATCATATTATATCGAATTAAATTGGATTATTATACAACAACATCACAAAATTAAATTAACATACGACAATTTCTGATCCAATTGTAAAAAAAACAAATTAGCTAAATTATATCATCATGTTTAGAAATAAAAATAAACAAAATCAAATAATTGATTAAATTTATTTGAGACGGTAACATAACGAAGATCATCAGTCAAGTATGCATTGCAAAAGAGAAATTTAAACAAGAAAAATTGCCAAAAATACCATAAAATACGAGGAAAATAATTGTCAATTTGAAATATAGTTAGGATGCGTTGGAAAAAAATTGTTGAAATATCTACATCATCTAAAGTACATATTTCTACAAAATCATCTTTGAAAGACTTTATGGATCGTAAGTAAATTTCTCTTTTAATATATAAAGATATATCATATTATTAACGTTCTAATCAATCAACTACTATATGTCTATTGTTAACATTTAAGTTAACCAATTAATCTCTAAATCTCAATTGTTAACATGTTGAAATTAATAAATTTTTCTAAGAATTAAATAAAATTACACTATTGCATTCTCAAAAAACAAAAAAAAGGAAGGTTACACTCGTTCACTTATTTTGTCATTTAAAATTATTATGCATAAAGAAACAATTTTTTTAAAAACTTATAAAGAAAAAAACTTAAGAAAATATAAGACAATTTAAATTAGGGATCTCTATAGGCGTGATTAAAGCAGCTGAACTTCTTTCCCATAAAATATGGCTTTCATTATATATTATTTATTTTCCGTACCACAGTGTCTTACTCTGACTCTGATTTTTCCCATTTCTTTTTATTAAATAATCACAAAAATAATTCACTATCACGACTTTCGTTTTTCTATATAAATTAACTAAACCGATTAGATTCGTTTTTGGTTACCAGGTGTCTGTTAATGTGAACCCCATTACCTTCTTCTTTTTTTAATGATGAATAATAATTGTGATTAAAACTTAAAAGAATTAGAACGAATTATAAAATAAAACAAAATAAAATGGAGACCGTAATTAAAGGAAAGGAGACATGAAAGTGGAAGATGTGTGAACAGGTTTATTTTCTTACACAGTGTCAACCTTTTTTTACTTGGCTACTTATGTGAACACATTGCCAAGAGTGTCACTCGTAATTGACTAATTGTATTTAGATATTTTCAAAACAAACTACGTACAAGTGAAAATGGAGTGTTATACAGTAAAATTGGTATGGTGTACTCCATCATTATTCAATGTCCAACAAAACTCCTTTTTTTTTTCTGGGTCAAATGTCCAACAAAACTCAACCACCAAAATTTGCACCCGATAGTTAAAGAAAGGAAGGACTGTTTTGAACAAAGAAGAATTATCTTATTTGAAATTAAAATTTGTATATATACTTGATTAGTTACCGTTGAATCTGGTAACATGTCACAGCTGTTGTTAGAGTTAAACCGGATCTGGTTTAACTCTATTGGTGCATGAATTAATTAGAGATAACTGGAGTGGTTATTGGATCTGGTTAATTTATGGTATACCGGGTTCTGATATATATATAAGGAACATGAGACTCTGTCACGTAACCCTAATAACTAGAACATAAGAGGCGTTCGACCAGATCTAGAGTTTTAGGTCTGC